AGATATAGATATAGATATAGATATAGATATAGATATAGATATAGATATAGATATAGATATAGATATAGATGATATAGATATAGATATATATAGATGATATAGATATAGATATAGATATAGATATAGATCCCAAGAAGATGGAGCAAGAAGGGTTGGGTTTTTTGTTGCTTTGTTTCATTCTTTCACAGCTGCCTGAAACCTGTAATACAACCATCATTTTTTGTGTCTGTGTAAGTCACAAGTTTAGAAAACCAAGGAGGGGTGACCGAGAAAAGAAGTGAGACCCTCATCCAATGGCATGTAGGCATTAAACAGTAAGGCAATTGCTCTGATAGTGTGAAGTCTGATGACTTTGAACTTGTTTTTGAGTCCTGGGCTTGCCCAGGTGTTGAAGGATATAGGAAAAATGGAGGCAAAGAGGGACCAACTGAGACAGTGATGAGAAAAGGTGACAAGGTTCAATCAAATGATATTGCTTTTCTAGTTTCCTTTTACATTCTTTTTTTGTTGTTGTAGAGAAATCCAACTGCTTTTTGTATGTTGATCTTATATCCTGCCACTCTGCTAAATTGGTCTCTAGTTTTAACAGTTGATTTTGTTGTTTGTTGGGGGTTTTCCCCATTCTTTGGTATTTTCTGTGCCATCTACATAAAATAACAGTTTTACCACCTCTGTTAATTTGTATGCTTTTTGATTTCCTTCTCTTTCCTTTTTTGACCTGGTTAGAGCTTTCAATACAATGTTGACAAGGAGTGGTGATAGTGGGCCGCCTTGTCTAGTTCCTGTTCACAAGGGGAATATTTTTAGTTTCTCTCCATTGAAAATGATGTTGGCTCTTGGTTTTGTACATATGCTTTTCACTGTGTTGAGGAAATTCCCTTCTATTCCTATTTTACTGAGTGTTTTAATCAGGAAGTGGTGGTGGAATTTGTCAAAGGTTTTTTCTCCATCAGTTGTCAGGATCATGTGTTTCTTCTTCTTTGCTTTGTTAATGTGATTAATTACATTAATTCTTTTTATTATTGAACTATCTCTGCATTTCTGTTATGAATCCTATTTGGTTATGGTGAATTGTTATTTTTTTAATATATACTTTTGGATTCTATTGGTCAGGAATTTTGCATCTATGTTCATGAGAGATATTGGACTATTGTGAAAATGTTGTTGCTATTGTATATAATCAAGTTGGAACTGATCCATAGCTGACCATCCAGTAGATTTTGAGAGGCAGTTAATTGCATGGGAGGAGATTGCCTATACTTCTCCCACAGAACAGCTGGTGGATTCAAACCATATGCTTTCAGAATTGCAGCACAGCGTCTTGCAACTAAGCCACCAAGATACCAGAGCTCCCTAAAATAGGAAGATAACAACTGAGTAAGGCATGTATTAATGTTAAAAAGGGGAAGAGAGTAGGGGAAGAAAAAAAAGAATGTGGAAAATCATTGGAATAGTAGATGTTAGTGGATGGAAGAGGATGAAGTAATGGGAAAGGTTCAAGGAGGGGACTTGAAAAGATAAGGTGATGATAAGTGTGCTGGTGTCATGTGCCATCAAGTTGCCTGCAAATCATAGTGACCCTCTGCATAATATCTCTGAACTCTGTCCTATTCTGGGCCAATCTCACTGTTTCCAACACATCTGCTCCTAATGCCACAATCACTGTGTCAATCCATCTCATCGAAGGTCTTCCTCTCATGCGTTGTCCATCCACTCTTCCAAGTATGATGTCCTTCTCCAAAGACTGGTCCCTCCTGGCAACATGCCCAAAATATATGAGACATAGCTTCAAAATCCTTGCCTCCAGAGAGCAACTTGGTTTCACCCTCTCCAGGTTAGACCTGTTTTCTTGGTGGGTCATGGTATGCTCAACACTCTTCTTCAGCACCACAACTCAAAGGTATTAATTCTTCTGTCATACTTACTCCTTTCTCAGCTCTCTGATGCACAATAAGTAATTGTGAAGACCATGCCTGTATCAGGCACACCTTAGTCTCTAGACTGACATCTTTGCACTTCAGTACTCTGCAGAGATCTCTGACTGCAGACTTTTCTAATGCAATTTGTCTTTTGATTTCCTGGCTGGTGGTTCCAAGAGTTTTAATTATGGACCCGAGTAAGCTAAAATTTCTCGCCATCTCAATATCTTCTCCGCCTGTTATGTTGCTTTCAATTGGCTCTGTGGTGAGAATCTTTGTTTTCTTGATGTTGAGCTTCAATCTATATTGACATTTCTCCTAACCATAGATTGGACTACTATCCGTCCAATTGTGACTTTAACTGTCAATTCATCAGGACAACCAAGCAGAGAAGAAAAACACCAAACCCTGAAGGAGGGTCCTTTGTGCAGACTCGCCCCAATCAACTGCAGGGAAAGTGGAATCTTTTATTGAGAGTACAAAGCATACAATGTGGAGTCCATCTGTGGAGCCTGGCATGGAGCCCAGCAGGGCCTCAGTCATTGAAATGACCTCCCTTCCTCCACTTGGGACTGACCATGGACGATGGCTGGGATTGCTTGCCCACTGAGGGGGGGGAAGTTGCTGGGTCTTTTCTTGGGATGAAAGCACATGGGAAAGAGTTGGAGGGCTGGGAAGGTACTTGTCATGGAGGATTGAGAGGTTTGGGATTTGGGGATGTGTCCAAGCAGAGCCTCTTCAGGCCCAGGTCTTGTTTCTCTTGGGGCTGCAGCGAAGTCTCTTCCTCTGTCACTCAGGTGCTCAATACCAGAAGATCCTTGGAGGGGAGGACAGAGAATCCAGTTAGTGACTGAAGGGAGTACTTTTGGATAGGGCAAGTCACATATCTGGAAAGTAACAACTCTGAGCAATGGGGCCAACCGGGGTCAAATGAGACTGAGGATCACCGTGGATGTGCCTGCTGCTTGCCTGGACAGAAGTCACTTCCAACCCTGACTCTCATCTCCTCCTTTCCCAAAATAAGATAAATAACCCTGAACCATTCTCCAAATTCTTCCAAAATCCACTTCACAAAATATGTAAATGCAACAAAATAAATTATAAGAAGTACAACAATTGTTGTTAGGTGCCATCGAGTCGACTACACCCCATAGTGACCCTGTGAACAATACAAGTGAACCTTGCCCTATTCTGTACCATCATCATGGTCGCTGTCATTCTCAAGCCCAATGTTGTAGCCACGAGTCTGTACAGCTATCTCTTTAAAAGGCTGAATAAAGAAACACATGCTGAAGAAAGGATCATTTTCCCTTCCAGTAAAATTCTACTTAATAAACATAAAAAAGGAATCATAGAAGCAGAAAATCACCATTAGACAAATACTACAGCAGTAGCTGTTATAAGCTAGGGCCATTAATGAGTGTCAGAGCTAATGGGAGAAGAGTGATGGTGAGAAACAAGGTGTTTGCATAGTCCTCGGGTAAGATATTAATTAGAGCAAAGGAAGCATAGCAAGTGTACAATAGAAAACCTGGCAGGAACCATACTAACTGTGCAATCAAAGTCAACATCACCAGATATAAGACATTGACATCATGTGCCCCCGATGTAACACGCAGAGAAAGGCACAGCCTCACTTTTGTAATGTTCTTGCTAAAATGTACAACCTCAGTCTAGTCCTCAGCAAACATTGATTCTATAAAATCTGTACAGAAAAAAGACTTGTCCAGGTCATAGAACAGAGGAATTGTCACAGACACGGGGATACTAAGGTGATGTGACAACTGAATGCAAAGTGAGATGCTGGCTGAATCTTGAATAAGAAGAGACATCAGTCAGAAAAGTGGTGCTTAAAGTCTACAGAACAGTTTGTAGTTTAGAGTGGATGTTAATTTTCTGGGTTTGACAGCTGAGAGCCGGAACTTGATGGAACGGCATTGTTTTTGGAGTCTCACAAGTTTTCTACCTTTGGCAGCATCTTACCATGTTTCTGTTGCTCTCTACAAGTGGAAAGTATTTGAGTTTTCCTTTTTACACAGGTTTTGACTTTACGGAAAGTTCCAGCTTTCTACAGGTTTTACTGTGTTATGGTTACATAAGATGCCAACACTAGGGAAAACTGAGTGAAAAGAAAATATTCTGGAACTCTTGGTACTATTTTTGAAATTTTTCTATGAGTCTACAATTATTCCAAAATGCGAGTTAAAAAATTTCTAAATCTCTATTATAGAAACAGCAACTACCATTTACAAATGGCTCACTAAGCCAGCTATTAGGCTTGAAACTTGGTGGCCTAGTGGAAAGAAACTATACTGCAATCTCAAAGGCACACAGTTCAAATCCACCAGCTGCTTCACAGGACAGTCAATTGCCTCCTGTGCAATTTACTACCTCTGAAAACCTGCTGCAGGGATAGGTATGGGTCAGCTCTGACTCGATGGCACGCAACAACTATGCCTTTCAGATTCAATACTTCATTCTACATTACAGACGTTTGAGTTACCCTCTTTATTATTGTGAAGTAAATGAAGCGATCATGTAACCTATTGATACATAGGTTTTTTAAAACCCGTATAATTCTCTTAGTGAAATATAAAGAAGGATTAAAAGATAAGTTGTTCACAATGAATAAAAGTTAAGCTGGCATTTAAATACAGAAACACAATTATTCTGGAAAAAAGAAATTGTTCCACACTTCTTTAAAACATGTCCTGGGACCAACCACAAACTAATGGACTGAGAAGTTATGATACATTCACATGATGGAATACTACACAGCACGCAGGACCAATGATTTTGAAAATTACTACCTAACTTGAGAGGGACTGGAGAGTATTATGCTAAGTGTACTATCTCAGTCCCATAAGGACAACTATTACATAAGACCATTATTGTAGGAACAGATAAGTAGTAAAACGTGTATGAGGCTTAAGCAAACTCATGATGTAAAAAAGCTCCCTTTAAGGATTCTTGGCGGCTTTATTTCTTTTCTCTCAGCCCAAGAAGAGTGTCCTGATCTCCCTCCCCTTCTTTCCCCTATCTCTCCTCCTGTCTGTGGCCAGGCAATGCTGGTGGCCGCCCAGACTGAGGGGCAAAGGGCATGCAGGAGAGGGCAGGCCAGGGCTCTGGCTCCCCTTACCTCCAGGACATCGATGTCCGCGTTGCTGAAGTCAATGTTGAGGATTTTGGGGAGGGGGACTCCAGAGCCCAGCACAGCTGTGGAAAAACAAATCAAAACAAAAACAAAAACAGGCACAGTCAGCATGGCCTGAGTGTGCCAGCACAGCAGGAAAGGGCACCTAGAGTATTTACCAGAAGAGTCAACATTGCTTTTCTGCCCCTGGGCTTTTGTCGTTTCAGCCCCTTCTCGCCAGGGCACATTCTACCCTTTTGCCTCCCTGGTGAGCTCTGAATCTATTCTGAGATTCTCCTCAGAAGCCCCCTCTCAAATGGGGCACCCTATATTATTGTCACCCTTCTGAGCTCCTTCACAGGATGTTGCAAGCCAGTCCTTGGAGAGAGACGTCATGCTTGAGAGGGTGGAGGGACAGAACAGGAGGAAGACCCTCGATGAGATGGATTGATTCAGTGACTGGAGTAATGGGGGTAGGTGTGTCAGAGACAATAAGATTGGTTCAAGAAAGAGCAGGGTTTAGAGCTGCTATACATGATAGTGTTGCTATGAGTTGCTAGCAACTTGACGGCACATAACAATAACAACAAATTTTCACATCTGCTTTCCCCACCTTCCCTGAGTTTCTGTGGACAAGGATTGTGTCCCCAGCATGACTCAGCCCCAAGCCAGCACACGGGAGAGGACAGATGTCTGTAGGAGGAAGGAATGGACCTGAGGCCCTGGTGAACCGCCATCAGCTACTTGCTTTTAGGGTTGTCAGAGCCCAGGCAGACCTACTAATGAGTGTTCTGGAAAGACAGAACGGAGAGAGGAATGAGTGAGTGAGGACAGCTGGAACAAGCAAAGTTAAACAAACATCCTGACTCCAACTCTGAAATACAATTACTTGGCTGAGGAACATTTTTCTCAGAATGTCTTGTGGGTCTTTATAAAGCACTATGGAACCTTTTTGGGGAATCAGAGATCTAGTCTACTGTCCTACTTTGCAGAAGGGTAAAACATCATGTCAATAAGATTAAAGGATTTACTCCCAGCTCTTTCCTTATCTTAGTGACCAAGCTAGGATGAGAATCTCAATGCTCTGCCTCCCAGGTCAGCTCAGAACAGTTCTTGGCCTCCTCCTCTTGCACTGGGGAATGGAAATGAGGACTGCATTTTCCCATCATTGATCTATGATTGACATTCTTCTGCATATGGTTCCAAGAAAAAGATTCTGTTTCACATCAAAAGTTCCCCAAATGAACCAGGCTAATAAAGCTGAACCATTTGTGTCTTTCTCTTCTCTTCAGTCAAGCAGAAGTGCAGAGAAAATGGTGGAGGCCAAGTAGCATGAGGGTTTGTGTCTGGTTTACCAATCATAATGATGTTACTTCACTTTGTGACCAGCTGTCACAGCCCCAAATGATCCCATATCTCAATAAGTGCTCTTCTGATTTGTTTTGTTATGTGCTGATGAGTTGACTACAACTAATAGCGACACTATGAACAACTATGAACCCTGCACTACCCTGCTCCATCGTCACCATCTCTGATTTACTTGAGTCCATTGTTACAGTCACTGTGTCAACCTATCTCAAGTCTTCCTCTCTTTTTCTGACCTTTCCAAGCATGATGTCTTTTTCCAAAGACTAGTCCCTTCTAACAATATGCCCAAGTATGTGAGATGAAGCTTTCCTATTCTTGACTCCAAGAAGTACCATGGTTGCACGTTCTCCAAGATTTGTTTAGTCTTTTGACAGTCCATAGAATATTCAGCACTCTTCTTCAACAACACAACTCAAAGGAATTGCTGCTGCTTCTTCTGTCACTCTTAGACAATGTCCTACTTTCAGATCGTATCAAGTAATTGAAAAGACCTAGGTATGGATCAAGTGCACCTTCGTCTTTAAATGGACATCATTATCCTTCGACACTCTGAAGAAGTCCAGTCTTCTGACGTTGTGTTAGGTGCCATCGAGCCAAGTATGACTCACCAGTATAGCAAGTGATTGAAAAGATCATCATCTGAATATGGTACACCTTAGTCCTCAAACTAACATCAATTGCTCCTCAATAATTTGGAAAGGTCCCTCTCTGCAGACTTGCCCAGGGCAATATATCTCCTGATCTCCTGACTGCTGGTACTAAGTGTATTGATTGTGGTTCCAAGTAAGATGAAGCCATTGACAGTTTAAATCTTTTCTCCATCTATTATGACATCGAGGAAGGAGGAATAGCATCCACTTCCATAATAGCTTGCCTCCGGAAACCCTATGAACTTGGAGAGAGGATGAAAGGCACCCAAGCATCAAGGACTCTCCTTCATAGGGTTGCTATGAGTCGCCTGCGACTCGACGGCACTTAACAACAACAACAACAACATTATGACATCATCTATGTTACAGTGATGAGAATTTTTGTTTTCTTGATGTTGACAGGCAATTCATATTGAAGGCTGCAGTATTTAATGTCCATCTGTCTTCTGACTGATGCCCATTAGTCTTTTGATAGCAAACCCTAAATAGCACAGAAAGGATCAAACACACTCAATTTATTCTTTTTATGAAATTGAGGCAAAAATCCTCTAATTAATAAATAAGAAAGACGTTGGGTTAAGAGGTGGGGATGTGGGTAAGGGAAACTTGAGCTTGCTTTGCACTGAAGGTGTATTTTTTTTAGAGCAGAGTAATTCTGCAGTCCCTGTCAAATGAAGAATAAATGCACACATTTAAAAATATATCAGACTCTATACACCCATCTTCACTGCAGCACTTTTCACTTTAGCCAAAAGGTGGAAACAACTAATATATCTATGCACAGATGAACAGCTAAACAAAATGTAAAACATACAATGGTTTTATATATATATATATATATATAATCACAAAGGGAAATTAGTTTCTGATACATGCTACTGCATGACAATCATGCTGAGTGAAACAAATCAGACACAAAGACAAATACCATGTACTCTCATTTCTATGAAATAAGCAAATATATGGAAACCAATATATTTGCTCTGGTGGCCTAGTGGTAAGAAACTGTGCTGTAATCCAGAGGCACACCGGTTCGAGGCCACCAGCTGCTCCACGAGAGAAGGATGAACAATCTCCTCCTGTGTGATTTACTGTCTCTGAAAACCTACTAGAAGATGAGCTATGGGTCAGTTCCAACTTGATGGTAAACAACACCACCATGGAAACAAAACATCATTTTTTTTAAATGGTTACCAGAGGTGACTAACAATAGGGAGAAGAAAAAGGGGAGACTTTGTTTGAGAGTTATCAAGTTCACGTTCTTGGTGGTGGAACATTTTGGGAAAGAAGAGTAAGGAAGGAAATAAAGGTTACCATTTTGAAAAAGGATAACTATTGGGTTAAGTTATAAAAGTGAAGTTGTATTGGTTAATGTTTGGGTATATTAGTTTTCATCACAATATAGCAAATCTAAAATAGTTAACTGCATGGGGAAAAATTGAAGAAAAATGTTTAGAAAGAATCCATTTCCTCGAGGAGGTGAGTGGTATTTCTCTATATACATAAACAGAGACCTTCTGAAAGGTACACATTTAGAGTTTTCATATACATGAAGACCTTTACATATATAATCAGCAAAGCAATGAGCGAATCTAACAAAAATCTATTCCAAAGCAAAGGAAGCAGATAGGGAAGTTGATGGGCCCTTGAGGAAATAATTTGCATTCATGGCTTAAATCAATAAGCTTAGAGGGGAGTTCCCGGAATGACTTAATGAACAGAACAGTCATGCTATGCAGGGCCAGCAAAGCAGCGGCCACGCCATCCCCAACCACACACTCCTGGGTCCCAATCTCACCGTTCATTGCAGGCATAAATGCCAGGTCAAAAATCTTCCCGACAAGCACTTCCATGAGGCCAACCTGCAGAAGAAGAGGAATTGAATCCAGGCAGCATGTTCTTTCAGATCCAAAGGGTCCCTTAGGTTTGGCCTTGCGGCCTCCACAGACCTCTCTCTGGACATATTCCTTCACTTCCCCCATCCTCAGTTCTCTTGGCTGTAAAATAGACTAGTAACCCCAGCTGTACGTTGTAGTGTCGGACTACCAAATATCCCATGGACTCCCAAAAGAACAAATGTATCTTGGAGAAAGGGCAGCCACGGGAGGTAAGGATGGAAAAGCTCTGCCCCACAGACTTTGGGCATATTGTTAGTATTTAGAAAAAGACATCATACTTGGAAAAGTAGAGGGCCAGCGAAAAAGAGGAAGACCCTCAACAAGATGGATTGACACTGTGACTGTAACAAAGAGTTCAAGTGTATCAGAGAGGAGGAGGATGGCACAGGGTAGGACAGGGTTCAGATCCATTGCTTATAGGGTCGCTTCGCTTTGGATTGTACTTGACTCAATGGCATCTACCAACAATAACTCCAGCTTGAGTCCGTGGGTAGTGCAAACAGCAAAGAACCTGAATGCTAGTCAGTTTGACAGTCAAGTCCATCCAGAGGCCCCTTAGAGGAAAGTCCTCGTGATTCACCTTTAACAAATTAGTCATTGAAAACTCCACAGAGTGCTCTTCTACCCTGATATGCATGGTGTTACTATCAGTGAGAACAGATTTGATAGGAAACAGAAAAGCAGAGTTGTAGCTTGTAAGGCTTATGGGCAAATCACACAAAATACCTGACACTGAGCCTTTTCCTGTGTTATCACCCTTAATTTCACTAAGCCTCAGTTTCCACAGCTTAAAATGGGAGTGAATTTCTACCCCTAGGCTGGTTGGAAAAATGAGATGTAAAATGAAGTCCCTGGTGGTGTCAATGATTTCTGCACCTCAGCTACTAGCGAAAAGGTTGGTATTTCGATTGTATCCTGAGGTGATGCTGAAGAAAGGCCTGGCAATCTGCATCTGAGAAATCGGCCACAGAAAACCCACAATGTACGTAAGGTCATCAGAAGTTGGAATTGACTCACTCTTTCATTGTTGTTTATTTTGAACCAACTCATAGCTCTCCCTCCAGCGGGTTTCCAAGGCTAGAAATGGCATGGGAGGAGTTTGCCCATCTGTCTCCCATACAGCCACTCACTGGTAATTTTTAAACACTGGAGAGACTACCTAGCACTAGCAGCATAACTCCACACAAGGACTACACCACCAGAATTAGTTAGATGTGAAATGCCTTCCGGTTGGATCCTTATGGTGGTAACATTAGACAACTTCTGAATTTAGCAAGGGTGAGATGAAGATTAAACTGAGAAAAGTTTTAAACAAGCAAAACCCAAAAGTACTGAAATACAGCTATTTCAGTCCGAGTCAAAATTCTTCCCCAACCATCTGTGAAAGAAGGCTTGGGCAAGGCACTGCCTTCCCTGGGTACCTGTTTCTCCACCTGTACCATGAAACAACAGTGCCAACTCTGAGGTCTCCATGATTTGGGTTAGAAACGCTTGAAAAACAAGCAACTCTGCACGTGTGGAAATGTCATCCAAGCATCTGTTGAGATGATGATTCATGGGGCGGGGAACCCACAAAAAAAACCTTAAAAACAACCACCAAAGGCTTTCTAAAGTCCTGGATGGAGTGGGAAGTGCCACAATGGGCAAAGAGGTGAAAGAGGACCCAATGCTGGGAGGTGAGCATTGCCGATCCACGGGCTCCCACACAAGCAGAATTCGGGGGCTCCCAGGAAAGAAAGATTAGAAATGGATCGAAATGCTCCCACTCTGTAGATGAGGAAATCAAGAGCCAGAGTGAGTCACAACCGGCTGAAGCCTCAGGGCAAAGCCAGGTCTTCTGACTCTAGGAAGGAAGGGGAATCGAGGTGAAGGCTGTCGAGTGGAGAGTTTGAGCCACGGAGCCCTGTTTGAGGCTGCCAGTGCCGTGACAGCACCACTGGCTAAGCAGCAAGAACCAGGGGTTTGTATTCTGGCCTCACTTGCTCTGTGAGCCTCCACAGAATGAGATGACTTCCAAGGGCCTGAGAGCGTTGACGTTAGCACTTTTGAATTCACATTAACTCTCCCCTCTAGTCCCCAGCCAGCCTCCTGGGGGGGCGCCCTGGGACTTCCTTGGATTCTGCTCCCACATGGCTCTGGGGCCCGGGTTTAGGACTTACGTCAAAGTTGCCCACATTTGAGGTTCTGAGGTTGAGGCTGGTCCTGCAGGTAAAGAAAACAGCTTGTTGGAAGCAGCTATTACCCAAGAATCAAGGTGCATGTGTTTCAATACACTATATTCCTCTACCAACATCCCCAGGAGGTTGACTCTTGAGCTTGGGAGAAGGGATGATAAATAAAAACAATGCTGAGTTCTGCAGCCTGAGCACTGACTTTGCACCTGGCACAATGCTAAGTAACTTAGATACTGATATATACTATATGTAAGATTCCAAACTTAGCTTTGCCATCTGCTTGCTAATGGGATAAGAGGTGGCTTCATTGGGTAGGCATTGAGCTACTGGCTGAAAAATGGGATAGCAGAGCCCATTAAGGGGTGCTTCAGAAAGCAAGCCTGGCAGTCTGTGCCTGAAAGGCCACAGTCTTGAAACCTCTATTGAGCAATTCTACGCCACAGCCTTGAAAGCTCTCTTAAGCAATTCTGTTGAATAATACTTCTACAGACTGATAATAAATCCATAGAGTCATCATGGATCAGAATTTACTTCACTGCAACTAACGAGCCGTGAAACCATGGCCAGGTTGTTTAACCTGTGTCTTCCTCAGCTTCCTCACTTGCAGAGAGGGCAGCTGCCAGGACTAAATTGTGTAATTCCTGTAAAATGCCTAGAACAGAGCCTGACAAAACCCAAGTGTCCTGTTCAGGTTAGCGCGGATCACTGCCTTGTTTAATAACCCTTGCTGCAGGAGAAACTGAGGCTCTGAGGGGTTGGGGGAGGGGGAATAACTTATCTCTGCCACAGAATTGAGGAGGACTTGCACCCTGTGCTCTTGGCCACTAAACTGTACTGAAGTGGAAAGCCATGAGCTGGGGTTAGAGGCCTCGTTCTGCTTTAATGAGGGCCACAATCTTTCTACACCCAAATCTCAATGGAAACCTGCAACCCCACCTGGGAGAGCTGAGAGCAGACCCACGTGGGGTGCAGGATATTATTTGGGGTCATTTGAAAGGGTTAGCTTAGCCTCCAGCAGGAGAGAAGCAAAATCATCTCCTCTCTGCTTCGAACCTATAGACATTTTATTGCTCTTTGCTTTTTGGCACTTCGCGGACATTGCAGTTTGGTTTTTGTTTTGTAGGTTGTTTTTTTAAAAAAATGAAGGCTTGGAGACTCTGCCTGAAGCAAGCCAATCAGCAGCCTTTCTCCAACGCAGATGCTTGCTTCCTGTCTCTGTGCCACATTTTGGTGATTCCCACAATATTTCACTTTCCCACAATGCTAGTGCATACCTAATAGACTACACTAAAGTGGAAGCAAAGCTTTTGTATGTGCTGGAATCAAAAGCACTCATGTCACTCTCTTTATTGTGGAACCTGATTTATTGCTGTGGTCTGGAGCTGAGCTACGTCCTTCTGAGGTACACCTGTATTTTTTTTTTTATTTTATTATTTTTACGTGTACCGTCAAATCAGATCTGACTGGTACAGGAGGAGATTGCCCCCTCCTTCTCCAGCAGAGCATCTGGTGGATTTGAACCGCATACCTCTGGGATTGCAGTGCAGGTACACCTGTATGTCATTGCTCCCTAGCGTCATTCTCATTCTTTCTGTCAATTGTCCATTCCCACAACACCCACATTTTTTCCCTCTCCATGAATTCTGTTCTCACTATCTCCCTGGCCAGACTCTCTCATCTTTTTCCTCACTCAGCACTGTCTCCTCATCCATCCAGGCCTCAGGTAGAACATTGCCTCTTTAGCAATTTCTGGAAGGTTATTATTATTAACACCTTTCCTTATTGGGCTTGATAAATATTTGTTGTAAAATATTATGGTAACAAAAATTTACCATAAGCTGGGAACGTGCTAAACAAGTTTACACGTGGTCTCATTTAAGCTTGAAATGGGCTTAATAATGATAATACTACTTCTATAGACTGATGTCGATAATAAAATAAAGAGCACTTAAGGCTTAGTTCAATGTTGGGTACACACATAAGATTCTTATTATTACTAATTATTATTGTTTTTCTGAGTTGAGAACAATTATCTCCACTTTTTGTATAAGAAAACTGAGGCTCAGAGAGGTAAAACTAACTACATGGCCAGGGTCACACAGCCAGTGGGTGGATTTGGGTCCATTCTTCTTGGCTCTAAAATCTATGCATAGAACTATTTACCACGGCTCTAGATCAGATGTTATTGTTGTCGTATGTCATTGAGTTGGAACTGACCCATAGCTGACTCTCCAATGCATTTTCAGAGGCAGTAAATTGCACGAGAGGAGATTCCCTATCCTTCTCCAAGAAGAGCAGCTGCTGGGTTCAAACCCTGTGCTTTGAGATTACAGCACCGTTTCTTATCACTAGGCCACCAGATAGACCTGTGTTAGTTACACCTCCTCAATGTACTTGCCGTGTGGCCTTGAGTACATATACACCCATCTTCCTGAGTCTTAGTTTTCTCCTCTTTAGAAGGGGAAAATAATGATCCTAACTTCATAGGACCATTTTGAGGATGGAACAAAAGACTGTCTATCAAGTACCTATAGCTGAGGTGTGTTCATTATTACTATTATACAGTTCCATTTTGGCTAGCAATAGGTTCTTGCTACAAATTTCACAGCTTACCCACCCTACCCAGCCCAAGCTGAGCTTGGCTGTCACAGTCCATGTCCACCTTTGTAGCTTCTAGGTTTGCCCAGCCCCGCTCCGCCAGGCCAGCTGACCTCTAAGCCTCCCTGGTGGCACCTCAGCGAGCCAACCATAGTAGCACCAAAGATGTCTTTCCAAGGTAGGGAAACCCCCTTACTTGTCCAATTTGGCATCGATCATGAGCTTATCTGACTCCACGGAAAACATGGCCAAGAGTTCTGTGTCCTGGAGGCAGAGGGAAGAACAATGGATCACCACCATCACTTCACCAATGCAATAGCCAACAATCCACCACATACATGCCGGGTGCTGACCACGGGCTATGTTAACACTGAGTACGACAGACAATACGTGGCTCCAGAGGGTGTGGTCAACCTCTCTACAAACTGAGCCTTCCACCAACACTCATCGTAAAGTGACTTGTCCTGCTTTCTGGAGGCAGAAATAACAAGTCACCAACACTCAATATTAACTACTGTTAGCAAATAAATCACATCCGTGGCTAAGAGTACCTTTCTTAGAGAAATGTCACAGGATCCCAGTGATTGGGATGTGGGACATGTACCAAGTTTATCTGGAAATGCCAGTTCCAAAAGTGAGGGGGTCCCTCGGGATAGCCATGAAAGAAGTTGATGATGAAAAGTGTTGATGAGGATTTGAAGAAACTGGGAAGCTCTTGCACTATGCTCCTTGTGATGCAATTGGGACTGACTCAGAGCTGACCCTCGATGTGTTTTCAAAGACTGTAAATCACACAGCAGGAGAGGATGATGATCCTACAATATAGTAACTACAGACCTGTATGCTTTAGAGTGGTCAATGTCATGTGTATCTTATTACACATACAGGAAACAGCAAGAGAGAAATCTTGCTGCCTGTGAAACCCACTTCACATGAGCCATTGCAAGGGAAATTGGATACCATCACTGTGCATAAATTATTATCATATATTATGGTACAATCTTAACTGTCCTGCCCCCTTGGAGGGGTCATTAAGAGTCTAGATTCATACATTCTCCAAGCAGAAAATTTTGTGAAGGAAATTATCTTCCCACTCCTACCTCCTAAATAAAAAATTATCATTGGCTTTATTTAAAAAAGCAATCTCCCAACAGATTCAAGCGATACTGTGAGTGAAGGTAGCATACATCCAGAGAGTGATCTGAATGTTATGGCAAGGACCCTTGCTGGTGTGGGAATCATCCAGATGAAGTGGTGTTTGAGCTAGGGACTGAAGGATGGGTGGCATTTGTCCAAGGGAAAAAGGTAATGGAGGAGGGCTGGATGGCAGGAAGAGCTTGTGCAAAAGCTAGAGGCAACAGAGAACTTGGTACTCAAGGACAGAAAGAGAGAAGATGTGAAACAAGAGAATAAGAGGCTAGATGATGTTGGAGTGGGATTGAGCCAGACTAGGTGGGTCTGGTGGCCAGAAAAAGGTGAGGCCCGCATCCCAACAATGGAGTCTCAGGAAGGTTCTGAGCTGGCACAGACACACGTTTGACCCGTTGATGGACACTTTCCACGCAGTCAGTTGGTGCTGATCAGGGAGAGGCTAGATCAAGGGCAGCTACACTCACTCCTGAGGAGAATCTCTCCTCTGATTCCTCTCCCTTTGAGGCCAGAAAGGACTCACCCACTTGGCACTTACCACATCAATGAGGCAGATGGTGGTCTCGACATCATTGGGCTGGGAAACCGTGACCTCAGCCGTGGCAAACACCTTCACTATGGCCTGGTCCTTCTGCAGCGTCACCGTTGGTGGGTTAGGCACCTGGATCTTGATGGTGAGTGGGCGGGACTCTGGGTACTGCTGGAACACCTGAGGGGGGTGCCATGGCAAGGTGAGGAGAGGGTGACACGGGGGTCCTCAGTCAACATCTGAATGTGCAGCATAGGAGCCTGGTACTCAGGTCCTTCATGGTCAAAAGCATCATGGCTTGAGGCCACAACCTCCTGCAGGACCCCCAGCTGACTGGGGGAACACGGGCAAGGTTCTGCCCTCTCTGGACTGCTCACACAATTTCATGATGATAAAATATGATATGCAGGCAGAGCTCAATGCCCAATCATGCCTGCCACTCTGCCAGTGTGGGGCTTCTGTGGCCAGGGGCTGGGTATGAGTGATTTGCACAACCCCACAGGGAATTGTTGCTCCATATTACAGATAAGAAAAATTGAGGCTAAGAAGGAAATTGATTCTCAGAGCAAACTGTCCAAGGCTAGCAGGGAAGTGGAGAGACTCAAACTCAGGGATCAAGGATTTTCCTATTCTTCTCTGACTCTAAACATCCTTCCCAGAACAAGGGAGTCCACAATTTAGGGTATCTCCTAGTGCAATCTGAGAGGAAGGCATGGCCACCCATCTGTGTTCACTGAGCTTTCTGAGACCCAGACTGGCAGGGATCTGAGACCATTTGCTGTAAATTGTTCCTTGAATTACTTCATGTTTGGTTAAGGGTCAGGCCATAAAGTGGTTAGCTTGACAATTTAGCTAATTAACTGATACACACACACACACACACACACACACACACACACACACAATCTTTTCAATAATCAAATAAATATGTGGGTAAACCCATAAAGCTACTTGTAAAAGAAGTAGAAAGAAACTTGACAAATGAAAACCCTTCTATGTGCAATATAAGACTATGGTGCTCAGGGTCTGAAGAAGTTTGTATTCATTTTCTTGAGTGCATTTAAGATGATGATTCTTTAGGTCAAGTTCTTGGTCATTTGGTAAATGTATCAGTTCAGCCAGTTGACTGCTCAGTGAGTTCACCCCTTGACAAATGCCCAGAAGGCCTTCCCAGCTGCAGTTCAGCCTCTCTCAGTAATGTCACTTTGGCTTTGGTCCCCAGGACACATTTTCTTGTCCTGGAGACTGTTTGAATCTCTCTTGTCACAGGCCCAATTCAGTTTCAAAGTCTGAGTTTCTGTTCTGGCACAGCTCTATCGCTAACTCGTTTCATGATCTCTCTGAGGAGGCTCGGTTTCCCCATCTGTACAAGGGGTGTGCTATCCCCTAATGGTCCCGTGGATGGAGAAATGGTTAGAACCAAATGGACAGATTCTCAAAGTATTCCCTGACTGTGTGCAGAACACATGGAACATGGTTCGAGAAATAAAAGGCCCTACTAATTGAGGAGTCTTCTTGCCTCTGGAGCTACCATATCTATGACAGTAGAGAAATTGTGTTTCTCCCACTGGCACTTGACTTTCAGCTACATGAGGGTGATGGTGATCATTTGTTGAGTTTGATTATTGAGGGGAGGGAAGGAAGAAAGGGGACTTTTCACTCCCTTCTTCCAGGTTCTTACTCATTGTGTTTTCCAGAAAAGGAAACTGAGGCTCAGAAAGCCATTCACCTAATGTAATATGATTAGGATATGCTGAGTTGGATTTAAAATTTTTGGTCTTAACCAAAGATACCACTCTTCTCTTTTAAGCCATCATGGGCCTGGCTCTGTGCTGGCATCACTGTGCACACTTTCTCCTTTACTTTCATCCATAAGCTTGTGGGGAAAGTGTTAATATTCTTATATGATAGATGAGGATGCTGGGGCTCAGAGACACTCATTTCCTTGCTCAAAATCACACAGCGAGATGACTAGACCAGGATTAGATTTGTGCAGACTGACCCGCTGCCGGAGCTCAGGGTCTTTCCATCTCACCCTCCCACAGAACTTGGCCTTCAAGCTTTTGTAGCTGTACTTCCCAGGCAGGTCAGGGAACCCCACCTTAGTACTGGACACCTTCTTTTCCAATCTGGATCCTGGGAAAGCTGGAAGAAAGGTGTGACTGAAGACATGACCTGGTCGCCTTTCATACCTTAGGAATCAGTGCCCCCAGCGTAGATGTGGTGAGTGGAGGAAGCTCTTCAAACTGTAGGGCAAGAAGAAGAGTCATGTGAGTCGCGGGGGCTATAGACACAGGCAGGACTTGCTAACACAGTGTTTGAACTTCTGTTGTCAAGATAACCAGTGAACTGGGAATATACCCTAAAGAGACCATAAATGACATCCAAGTAGATATATGTATACCCATGTTTATCGCGGCTTTGTTTACAATAGCAAGGAGTTGGAAACAACCTAAATGCCCATCAACAAACGAATGGGTAGAGAAGCTGTGGTATATTCGCACAATGGAATACTATGCTGCATTGAAAAACAAGGAACTCATGCAATATTATTCAAAATGGGTGATCCTGGAGGACATTATGCTGAGTGAGGTATCTCAGTCACAAAGGGACAAATGCTATATGGTGCCACTGTTGTAGAATGAGGCTGGCATTGGGGTGGGGGTAAGACTGAGAAAAACTGGATGAAATATGTTTACGGCATTGAAGTCTATGGGGGAGAGAATAGTCTAAAAGTATTATATTTTAGGGCATTATTTTTATCGTAGGAGTACGCAATGAGGATTGCAGAGTGGATTATATTTGGGGGTATGGGGTGGGGTTTGGGGAGGTGCCGGGGGGCGGGGATTGTGTACCAATGAGGGAGTTTTTCTTTTGCTTTTCAAGGAGAGGAGCAAACGGGGGGGGTGGGGGTGAGGGGTTTGTGCAGGGAGAAGGGTGCAACAATGAATGAATGGAATTCCAAAATCTCTGTAGATGTTCATTGAGATGAAAAATAAACAACCTAAATTAAAAAAAAAAAGATAACCAGTGAAGATATCGTCTCCCTTAAAGGAATAGCAAGACCCATTTAGAGATCCTCCTGTCCAGCAGACCAGATAAACCACCAAAGACACATGATACCATACTTGCTTGGGCCACTTAAGGTCATCATAAGTATGCAGGAGGCAAGACTGGAATCCCAGTCAAACTGAATCTGTCTTCTCCAAATGCCATAACATTTTTGTTAAAACAAGGTGAGTACCAGTAAGCCTTATTTGCATAATCCAACATTCACCAAATTCATGATCTATATTTCTGAGCCATCTGTACTATTATTTACATTCTGTCTTCTTTAAATTGTGCTATTTTTAAAGCCTCAAATGCTGTGATTTTTAAAGGAAGTTCATAATGCTATTTAAAAATGAGAAGCTAATCCCACTTGACAGAAAGAGATGGGAATTCTAATAATAAATGCAATAAAAACAAAATAATGTCAGGGTAGCCATTGTTCTCACAGGGTGGTTTGTTCTGTGTAAAGCTATGGTATTGAGACCTCTTCTCTCTCAATTAAAAAAGAGTATATGAGAAGATTAACTGTACCTGAACCGAATACTTTCTTCTTGATGGAATCAAAGTCTGACATGATTTGCCAAAAATATACTGAGACGAATATATGTGAATATTCATTACATTTTTTAAAAGAATTTAAATAAAATGAGACAGACAACTTTCTCACCATATGATTTGATGTTACTTGATGTCACATCTATGAAACATGTGAAGTCTGGAATGTTATGCTTTGTTAAACCCTGACGTAATTCTTGCATACCCAGGAACGGACGATGAGTCAGGGGGTGGGCTGTCTAGAGTTCTCATTTTAAAAAGTTATGCTGATGATAGCCGTGGGGACAGGAAAGGATCAATGGATCCCAGCTTACCCTCCCCCTTAGTGGCTCACCATGCCGTCAGTGATGTCAATATCTAGTGCCCTCTGCTTCTGCAGGAGAGTCAGCACTGAGCCCAGAAAATTGGCAGACATGGCCAGTTGGGAGTTGGTGTTGTCTCCCATGGGGGGCAATTCTGGCATCTTCTGCCTGGGAGACACAGCTGGTCGACCCAGTGGGTAATCGATGAGGTCTCCTCCAGCTTCTCCGACCAAAGTCTGAGGGAACAGAGAGGAAAGGAATCGTGGAGAGGGGCACAGAGAGAAGGAAAGGGGGATGAGGAAATATGGAGTGATGCTCCCCACCTTCCTCCAAGATGCCTACCTTGGTTAAACCCACTGGCCCTGAGCGACTTCTTTTATGCACCCCAGCTCTCCTTCAGTCTGTAATGCAGTTTCTGCTTCATAATCCTGTATGACTATGCCGTGGCCCATTACAACACAGCTTAGATGGATGCATGACATGCGTTCGCTCCCACCTCAGCTCTTCCACAATGAATTAGCACACGTATGTGTCTGCACAATATGCATTGACTTGCACGTGAACTTGTTCAAACTTTTTGTTGTTATTTGAATGAAAGTTTACAGAGCAGATTGGCATTGCATTCAACAATTCATACATACTTTGAATTATGACACTAATTATAGTCTAGTCCCCACTTTGTATCATCACTCTTCCTACTATCTCTCTGTGGCTTTTCTTTCCATTCAGCCTCACATCCTCTCCCTTCCTGTTTTCTGAGCTTTATCCCTCGGCAAATGCTGCTCTTGTGATCTCCTGTGGTTGACTGTTCTAAGGACTGAACATCTCCTTGGCGGTTTTGCTAACCTTACAGATCTGTCCATTGTTGCTTACATGCTTTTTACAGACCGGGCTCCTCTCCATGGCCTCTGTGATCTGCCATCACTCCGCTCCTTAGGGGTCCAGGGGGGCTCTCCAGCTTCATATCTAGCCACTCCACCCCCTCCCACATCCTAACCTTCTAGTCAGTCACTCACATCACTACACCATGATATTTTGGGACATGCTGTTCCGTCTTCACAACTCTTTTTCCTATTAAGTCACACTTTTTTGGAAGAGCAAAACAACAATATTTGGAAGATCTCAGACCAAGCCGTTACCTTCTACAGGAAGTCCTCCTCAACCTCTTTGGCTAGATCCTACTCCCCTGCTCATGTGCTCATAGCCTTCAGCTCTCTTCTACGGCACTTAGGACATATATTTTATCTGTTTAAGTGATTCTTTGATGGTCTGTCTCCACTCGTAGATTTTAAGCTCCACCATGGGAAGATTTTGTCTGCATTCTTTGCTACTGTACCTCTATCATATAGTTTAAAACCCTGGCACACAGCAGGCACCCATATCTCTTGAATTAATATTTATGAATATACATGCATATGTATGTGGTCCCAGATAGGCCCATGTACAGGGGAGGGTGGGTATGTGTACCTCCATGTGTACTGTACCTCTGTATCTGATGAAGCAAAGTAGGGGAAGCATACATATCAGTATGTGTTCAGATATGCAATTAGGGGCCAGATTGGGTCAAAGGCTAGAGTCAGCTCATACTGGTTCATGGGAGCCAACTGGACACATCCACATTCAGTGACATCCATGAGTATCTTGAAATCAGCCGTGGTAGTGTTTATACCACACAAGGTGGCAAACACTACAAATCGGACCTTTTTAATCATGGAAAGTCAGTTGTTAAATGGTTAACAATACCCTATTGGCTGCATCATTCCTCTAGCAAACCTAGCCGCTCTAGTAGCTAGAAACCAGATTCTCTCAGTTCAGATCCTAGGTTCACAGTTATCAGTTAGGTGATCTGGGGTAAGTGGTTTAACTTGCCTGTGCCTCAGTGGCCTCATCTGTAAAATGGGTTCGATAAACATGCCTATCTCACAGGGTTGCTGTAAGGATGGATTAATTAATGTATATAAAATACTTGATGAGTGTTGTCTGTGATAGTGTTTCCTAAGACATATTTTGGCTTCTAGAAGGTCTTCATCTCATTTAAAAAAGGCTACTTTTCCAGTGGTTGCTTCTTAGGCATTCCACAGGAGACTAGGGGACCCACCCCACCTCCGCCTTTAGGGAGGAGACCCCCTTGCCCCACAATCCAGGCACTCACATTGAGATCTAGCTCCAGGAATTCCCCAGTCACAAGCGGCAGGCTGGAGAAGGTATACTGGACACTTCCCAATATCCCCAGAGGAATCAGAGCTGCAGGCAAAGAAGAGGGACATGGGGGTATCCCTCACCCACCCAGAGACCTTCCTTCCTGGTGACCTGAACTGGGGTGGGAATAAGGTTTTAGGTGCAGGCACTATAGAGAGTGAGAGCACTGCCTCTTTTGTTTTTTGAAATCCCAGGCAAGTCACTGCACCTCTTTGAACCTCAGTCTCCTCCTCTGTAAAGTAAGTTTCATAACATGCTTTAGACTATATGAAGAAGAGGCATTCGGATCCTAAATAATGATAAGACTTATAAACTGTAAAAGTGATCTGCACCAAGGACGAAGGTTCCAGGTTCCAAAACATGGTGACTAGTGGAAGCTGGTACTTTTCAGACTGCTTAATGATGGATAGTCCCACTGGTGGACAGCTCTTCCCTCATACCTGGCCAAAGTGGGAAGGCTTTTTACCTGTCAGGAAGTCATTCTCGCACTACATGGACTCCCAGATGGAGTGCCCAGGTGGGCTGTTACGTGCTATGTACAATGCACAACCCAAGATGCAGTTAGGACATTGCAGTCTTTGTAGAAGGCAGTGCCTGGAATTGTGCAGTGCACAGACTATGATGCTATATGGGGCATTCCTGGCGTGAGCTCGGAACATTAACTCTGAGGTCCAGGAAGGGGTGGGATTTGGTCCTTGTTGCTCATATCTGAAGGCCTGGATAGTTGCCATGACACCTTTTGTAATTCAGTCTCCCAATACCTCTGTGGTCCAAAGGCAGACCCTTCATTCTAGAGATGAAGAAACTAGGAAGTCTTTCCAAGGCCATCTGGGTGCCAGGCAGAATGAGGGTTCAATCCCAGCACCTTGCCTCCCAGTCTAGGGTTGTAGCCTCTTATATCCCAGTGGACAGTTCCTCCCTCTAAGACTTGGAGGTGAGAGGTGAGAAGAAAGGCCAGAGGGACCCTCTCTTAGGCACCACCACACTGTTCTTCAAAGGCCTGATAGTACATCTGTCTATCTCAATACTACCTCCCCAAGACATCTCCAGTCCCCAGGGAATTCCCTGGGACTGGACCAAGAGCAGACACTAGCAGGTATTAGCCAAATGAAGCCAAGAAAAAGACTTACAGTCCACGAGACCCAGCTGGTCATTGACAAGACCCAGTACCACATCCACAATGGGACAAAGCTGTAGGGAGAAAGTGCCACAGAGTTAACAGCAATCATGTTGCAAAGGCCAGAAGAGGAGGTGTGGACCAGTAATAACAGCTCTCATAGCTCACATTCACTGTCTGCTGCCTGAGGGTTGTTGTAGAAAAGAATCTAACATAATCCCTTTCTTATCAGATTGCAAAACTGGGACTCAGAGAGAGTATGGGACCTCTGGAGTTACTATGAGTTGGAGTTGACTTGATGAGCATGTGGTTTGGTGTATGGGACTTGTCACACAGCACACAAGCTGGAATTTAAAGCAGAAAGAAAGGCATGATTCTCCAAGTCCAAGTCTGCAGCTTCTCAGTCCTTCATGAATCTGCCCCTCTACACTCCTCAGGGTCCTGTCTGGTCTCCAGGAATCTACCCTCAAGTCCCTGGTTCCCCTCCATGCCTCTCATACCCCAGGGAGAGAGCAGGGCAGTGGTCTATGTTCCTCGCCCCTCATCCAGCACAGATTCTTACCAAGTCAGGGAGGACGTTGGCCAGGACTCTGTTCACTAAGTTGTCCACAAGGTTGGGGAGCAGTCTACAGAAAGAGGAGTAAACTGAGGACAAGGCTCACAGCCGCAGAGGGGTTCTTCAAGCTTGTCTACACTGCGAGCTCCTAGCCCATTAAGAACTTTGGGTGTTGTGACAATGTTCTGAAAGCGGGAAGGACACTGTGCCCTCACTCTAGGCCAAATGGACATGCCACCCAGGTAAATTGTCTGGGTTTCCATTTATTCAACAACTACTTCTTGAGTTTTACAATGGACCAGACTATTCAGATATTTTTTACTCAATCTAGAAAAAAGCAGTCTTAATCCTGGTTCCTTCCTGTTAATCTGACCCTCTGATGGGTTGATCGCTGAAGTTTTGCATCATTTTCCAAGAAGGAAACATGGAAGTTATTTAACCAAGCACTTAGCGCAGGTTTTTAGCACACAGTGGGTATCCAATAAATGCCAGGAGAAGAGAAGAAAGGAGAAGTGTCAGTCAATCAAATGTCTTCATGCTGTTCATTAAGAGACCTGATTGCTATGCATACAAGATTGGGACACACCATTCCTGTGGGGAAATGAAATCGAGGCCTATTAATAAATATTGGTTGATGAAGGAAAGCAGGGAGGATTGCTGACAAGCTGACTCCTATAAACAGGTCCTCACCTCCACTGAGCATCGCATATCGCTTCTTGAGTAAGTGGCAGCTCCAACAAAGCAAAGGCATTCTTAAGTTAAAGTCCTAAGTAGAGCATTTTCTACAAAGTTCACTTTGATGCATTTTGATCTGCCTTCTAAGTAGGTTCACCTTATCCACTTGTGGGAAATGTTTTCACATAATCCCCAACTTTACCAGATTAGGAAACTTGGACTCAGAGAGAGTATGGGACTTTTAGGGCCATTGAGAGTTAGCATTGATTTGATTGATGATAGTGGATCGTTTGGCATATGGGATTTGTCACACAGTTCACTTGTCATTATGGGGCCTCATCCTGATTGCCATTCTTCTTGGATGGTAAGACCCTAGAGAGGGTGTATGTTTGTTTGTGTATGTGTATGTTCATTCATGTTGTGCATGTGTGGAGGGGTATATTCAAAGTACACTCATATGTACTCAAGGTACAGATTATATTCCTCCTCTGGGAATTAACCCATGTATGAAATAAGTACATAGAAGTACATATTCACTGTAATCAGTCAGAGCAAAAATTAGACAAATTGAATCTTCACGAATAGGGATCTGGGCAAACTAATGGTAGTTCACACAGATAATGAAATATTATGAAGCTGTAAAACGTTAAACAAGGAAGTTATCAATGTCCAGATAGAGAAATCTCTCCATATAGAGTAAATTAAATAAGCCAAATATGAAACTATATATATGTAATACAGATGGTCTATTTCCTTTTGCTTGCCAAGGATCTCAAGACAGGAATATGTATGGTGAACTTGGAAGGACAGGAAGGACTCTTCACTCTGGGCCGTTTTGTCATTTCAGGTTGTATATGTATACGTATATGTATATGTATATGTATATGTATATGTATATGTATATGTATATGTATATGTATATGGCTACACATATTTCCTAATGAGCTCTGGTGGCCTAATGGTAAGAAGCTGTGCTGTAATCTCAAAGGCGCACACACATGGTTCAAATTCACTTCCTGTTCCACAAGAGAAGGATGGGCAATCTCCTCCCATGTGATTGAACTGCCCTGGAAAACCTGCTGGAGGGTCAGCTATTATTCTGACTCTACAGCACACAATGATGACAGTGAAGAATGGAAATTTAAACACCTGTTCAGGTTTCCCAAGATCAAGAAAACAAAGATTCTCACCACAGGGCCAATTGGCAGCCTAATGATAGACAGTAAAGAGATTGAGATTGTTAACAGCTTCAGTTTGCTTGGCTCCACAATCAGCTCTCTTGGTACCAGCAGCCAGGAAGTCAAAAGAGGAATTGCACTGGAAAAATCTTCTCTAAGGGATCACTCCTGAATACTGAAGAGCAAATGATGTCAGTCTGGAGACTAAGGAATGCCTGATCCAGGCCATAGTCTTTGCAATTGCTTGTTATGCGTCATAAAACTGCATAATGACTAGGGATGAGAGAAAGAGAATTGATGACTTTGAGCTGTGGTGCTGGAGAAGAGTACTGAATATACCATAGACTTCTAGGAGAACAAATGAGTTTGTCTTAAAGACAAACCAGGCTTCTCCTTGGAGGCAAGGATTCTGAAGTTTCTTCTAACATACTTTGGGCATGTTGCAAGGAGAGACCAGTCCTTGGAGAGGGACATCATGCTTGCGAGAATGGAGGGACAACACAAGAGAGGAAGACCCACGATGAGATGGATTGACTCAGTGACTGCGGTAATGAAGGTAGGTGTGTCAGAGATGACGAGGTTGGCTCAGGATAGAGCAGGGTTCAGAGCTGTTTTCCATAGTGTCACTATGACTTACAAGCAATTAACTGCACATAACAGCAATAAGGTTTCCAGGTGTTTTTGCCCTATCATTCCCCTCACCAGGACTTTAAAGATCAATTCTTCCTGGCTCCACCTACCCTGAACTAAAAACAAAGAGTGAGAGAAACTGACATGAATCAGAAAGATTTGTGATCAAGTTTTTCTGCTCTCAAAGTCAAGATTAAATGAGTTCTAGGAAGACTGGGTCAAGGAATTAGTAAAACAGAAGACAAGGAGAAGACAGCCTCAAAGGAAGAGTCCAAAGAAGAATTCTCCAAGATAATGGAGTGAAGAGAAAGAGATCCAATTACCAGCTGTTCCAAATATGCACTCATCTAAGACCACTAATTGGAGACAGCATACTAGGTAGTGGTGGAACACTTGAAACCTTTCTGGACAGAGGGTGAGCACCTGGCTAGTTTGTGAGGAAGGTATGACAGAAAAACTCACTCCCTCACCAAGGTCGACCTGGACAAGGAGTTGGAGCACCAATGGACAACTCACCCCCCCCATAAGACATGTATTCATAAAATCTCAAAATATGCCAGATTATGCACTAAGTATTTTACATTCATTCTCTCAATCCCTAAGAGGAAAAGAATTCTTTCCATTTCACATGCAAAATTTGCATCCAATCAGCTTCTTAAGCCTTAACCACCATGAACCAAGACTGTGACTGGGATGGCAAAGCTGCAGGTGTGTGTCCTCAGAGTATTCTCCAGTCTAGCTGAAACCCCCTGTCCTGGCTTTGAAGTCACAGCCCCTAGAGCCCAGCCCGCAGCCAAATGTGAGAGTGGGGATAGCCCAGTGTGAGTCCTCACTTCTCTTGCAGAATCATTGCTTGCCCAGACCAGAGCCAAATGTGATACTGTGGACGGCCCAGTATGAGTCCTCACTTCTGCAGAATCATTGCTCTGCTCACTCCAGTGGCCATGGGTAGGTGGGTGGCACAATTTGATTTGCCAAAGACACTCCACCACCCCCTGACACACTGCCCTGGTGATACTTACCCTCTCAGCAGCTTAACTTTGATGCCCCCCAGGAGGGTGTCACATCGTTCAATGACCAGCCGAGGATAACCTGTGCGGTCCATGGTCAGCCGCACCTTGGCCGTGATGTTCACCTCTACAGCAATGTCCAAAAAGCCAATGAGACTGAACGAGACCAAGGGACCAGGAGAACAATGAGTCACACCCATTGAACAGGCAGCTCTCCCCATGCAGACTAGCCCAGCACCTGCCCACCTCTCAAGTTTTTGTTCTTACTCCTTGCTATTAATTACCTCTCTTGTTCATTTTTAGGAACAAGAAGTCTCAGACCAGGAAGGCCTCTTAGATCCCCAAAGTCAGTTAGGATACATTTTATCTCACACTCTTTCTAGAAATTCTACTTTTTAATCACCTAGCTTCATAGACATGACTTCATCCCATGGGGATAAACCTATGTAAACCCCTCTGAGATTCTCTAACAAGCACCTACTACATGCAAGCGGTGATTCTATGAATGGGCTTAAGAATGTTAGATAAGGATCGCACAGGATAGGGCAAGGTTCAGATCTGTCATTCATAGAGTCACAGTGCGTTGTAGTGCTAGGAGTTGTAGTTGACTTGATAGCACCTAACAACAACACATGGCAAGCAGAAAGCCCCAGTAGCTAAGTGGTTAAGCCTTTGGTTTCTAACTTAAAGACTGGCAGTTCAAAACCACCAGCAGCTACTCAAGAGCAAGGTGGAGCAGTCTGTGCCTTACAGTCGTGGAAATCCTATGGGGCAGCTCTACTTCGGCCTATGGGCTCGCTGTATTTCTTCACATAGAACTCACCCACGTAAATAATGTGCCCACGCATGTAATGAACCTAGCACTTGTAGGAATCAAAAGTGTGAGGAGGTTGTGTGATTTATGGAAAATTATGTGCTATCACTGGCTCAATTCTAGGAGCTCTGGTGGCCTAGCGGTAAGGAGTTTGTGCTGCCAACCCAAAGGCACACAGTTCAAATATACCAGCTGCTCCATTGGAGAAAGATGGATAATCTCCTGTGCAATTGACTGCCACTGAAAACTTTTTGGAGTAGATTCTGACTCAGCAGTACATAACAACAATAACATTCAAAAGGCATTTGCTTGTCCTCCCTCACTTAGGGTCACAACCACGTAGAGAGTTGGTCTCATTATTGTTGTTGCAGATCAAGACACGAGGGTTCAAAACTGGAATTGGCCCGAAGTGGTGTGGCTTATAAATTAGAGAGTCAAAACTATTACTTGCACTATAGCCTTCCAAGCTCTTCACCGCTGCTCTCGGCCATTCCTACTGCCCACGTGGATATTAAAATGACCTTGAGTCAAGTGCACAAGGCAAGCACTGAGCACATTAATTCTGTTTCATCAATGAAGGAACTGAGGTGTGGAGAGAGGAGATGTTAGGGGCCCTTTCAGAGCCAAGGTCACACACCTCTTCCCATTGATGGCCACGCGGGTATACAGGCTCAGGTAGACGCCCACACCGGGCAGCAGCCGCACAGACACCCGAGGAAGAGTCAGTTCCACAATGCGAAGCCTGCACAAGGTACAAGAGAGAGCTCATGCTGGAGAGGCCGAGGCAGGCCTCCAGCAAACCTGGAGGACGCCTTCCTTCACATTCCTCTGCTCCACATTCATCCTTCATGTCCCTGAGTAAGCTCAAGGTTCATGGACTTGGGAAAACTCATAAATGTTAAAAACAAAAATTGCCACCATCTGTAATCCCACCACTGAGGGACCATCATTTACATTTCTATATAACTCCGTAGCATCTCTTTTTCTGTGTAACGATGCCCTTCCCTGCCCCACTTTGCTTGCACATTCTCTTGTCTATATTCTTCAGATTTCAGCTGGATGTCTTCTTCCTCCAGGAAGTCTCTCCTGATCTCTCTAGTCTAAGACAGCTTGTCCATACACACATCACTCAATCACGTTGCCCTTGCACTTTCTCCTATTATTGTTGAAATTGTGTAATTATTTACAGGCTTCTTAATTAATGCCCATGAGCCCTACCAGTTTGCAAACTCTGTGAGGACAGAGTTCCATCATGGGGTCATGTCCCCAGTACCAATATGGTGTCCAACCCATATGAGGAGATCTAAATAGTTGAGTTAGATAATGAATATGAGAAAAAGGTTCACACTATTGAAACTATATAGGTAATTTTAAATCCTTGGGCTTTTTTCTATTTAAATTATATTACTATGATATTTTGCAAATAAGGAAATTGAGACTCAAATAAGAATGGCCTGAAGTTATGTAATAAAAACAAAAGATTAAGCTGAGATTCAAATCAGACCGCTTTATGCCAAGATGCTAAACTTGGGACTTTGAAAATGGCTAGTCTTGACCCCAAGCCCCGACATGTATAAAACTCTGAATGAAAACCATCCCTCCTCATACCAAGGCCTGGGAGAGTATTGTGTGCAGGTTGGTCAATTGAACCCAGTTCCTTCTTACCCTGTGATGCCCTGCACAGTGCTGAGGATGCCACCCTCGCCGAGCACTCCTAGGACGCCTCCTCCTCCAAGAAGTCCTCCGTCACCAAGGAGACCTCCTCCACCGAGCAGGCCACCTTGGCCTGACAGGATGCCATCAGCTGCCAGCATGCCTCCAGTGCCCAGCAAACCACCGGGGCCCAGAGCCCCAGTGGCCACGCCAGGTGGGATTTCTCCAGGCCGCAGCTCTCGTCGGTGAAGCCTGCCCACAGTTGATGTGCCTTCTGCTGACCTATACCGCCCATAGCCCCTATGGCCGCCATATGCATTCTCGCCATTGCGGTAGTCACCGTTTCGGAGGTCCCTGATGCTTCCATCTGACTCAAGGATCTCCCCATATCGGTATTTGCCCCCAAGCTGAGCAGTGTTGTCGTTGCTATTGATGTGACCATACTTGTAATTACCACCAAGCTGTTTGCCGTTGGTATATACTGGGGGTGACTCTCGGACATGGAAGTCATTGTAGGGAACACCACCAACACCTCGGGGGAATTCAGCGCTTCTGTAGTCATTGTAATGGTGCCGGCCACCGCCTAAGAGACCACCACCACCACCCAAGAGGCTACCACTACCACCTAATAGTCCACCACTGCCACTGCTACCTCCACCACCCAGAAGCCCCCCACCATGACCACCCAATAGCCCGCCACTGCTGCCGCTGCCACCACCCAATAGGCCTCCTCCAACTCCACCCAGCAACCCCCCACCACCACTGCTACCACCCAAAAGCCCACCACCACTACCACCACCCAACAACCCCCCACCACTACTTCCACCCAACAGCCCACCACCACTACCACCACCCAACAACCCGCCACCACTACTACCACCCAACAGTCCACCACCACTTCCACTGCTGCCTCCATCACCCCAAAACCCCCCACTACTACCGCCACCCAACAGCCCACCACTGCTGCCGCCACCACCCAGCAGGCCACCTCCCAGCAGGTCACCCCCCCCACTACTCCCGCCACCAAGCAGACCCCCCAGAAGACCACCTCCCCCACCACTTCCACCTCCACTTCCACCAAGCAGACCCCCCAGGAGAGGCCCACCACCAGCACCACCAGCTTTACCCATGGGCACCTCTCTCAGGGCCGTGTGGAGGGCATCGCTTTGCTGCAGGGTGCCCGAAATGGCTGCAGAGAGGAAAAGACGGCCATCAAGTCTTCTTCCTCCCACCTCCACCCCCAGGCACCACCCCTGGAGGATCCCTGGGCCCTCAGGACCTCACTTCCCCGTAGTTACAAATGCAGAGGACAATCAGGGAATTTCTTCTGGCCATTCCAGTTCTGCTGTAATTGGGGATTCAGAAGTGCTGGGTTTTACCCGCTAAACTTAGTTCTATTTGGACATCAACCAAATTTTGATGGATTCTCTTTCTCATTCCTTTCCACGTGCTCCATATTTTACGGCTGCTGTTACTAGTAGCGGTTGAGTAGATTCCGACTCATAGCGACCCCACATGCCTTCAGCATACAACTACATCAGAAGGGTTTCTCAATTGTGATCACTGGTGGCCTGGTAGCAAGAAGTTGTGTCACAATCCTGGAGGCAAGTGGTTTGACTCCACCAACTGCTCCGTTGGGGAAAGATGGGCAATCTCCTCCCATGCAATTAACTGCCTCTGAAAACTCACTGGAGGGTCAGCTATGGGTTGATTCTGACTCAATGGTACACAACAACACTCTTTTTTTTTCTTCCTATAATTATATTTTATTAATTTTCATAAACATTTACAGAGATTTTGGGCTTCCACTCATTCATTGTTGCACTACAACAACACTCTTAACAGAAGCAGATCACCAGGCCTTTTCTTTCTCAGTACAGTTGTATGGGTTTGAACCAACTTTTGGACTTATAGTTGCATACAAACTGTTCGAGTCACCTAAAGATTATCTATCTCTCCACATTTTACAACTCAAACAAACAAAATCCTACTTTCGTGTGCATTATCTAATCTTGTTCCTGAGAAATAGTCAAAGCCAAATTTAACTGACAGAGAATAAAATTGACAGGTACAATCCTCAGAGACCTCTCAGAGGACTAATCTCACCTCTTATTCTCATGATTGCTGTAGATAAATGACAGGGCAGAGAGTATGTCTTCTTTGATAAATAATAAAAAGAGGTCCTAAGACTTGGAGGCAAGACTAGTTTTGGTTCCCTGCAATTGAGGGCCTTCTGTGCGCCAGGAACTGTGCTAAATTCTCACAGAAGTCATCTAATTTAATCCTTATGTCAGTCTCCTGAGATGGGGACCAGCATTGCACCCATTTTGCAGATTAGGGAAGCAAGGCTCAAAGAACTCAAGTCATGAACTTAATGCCACAGGATTTGAACCCTCAGAAGACTAATTTCAGAGGTGAGACTCTCAGTTATTGCCCTCTGTTGCCCCATGAATGGGAGCATAAAGTCTCTAGCATTGTGCTTGGCACACAGTAGACGCTCCAGAAACGGTAGCTAAAAGGAAAAGCGGGGAACTGAGGTCCAGGGATGAGAAATCACCTGTACATCTGATATGGACTGACAATGGGGAAGAGGGCCCCTTGGAGTTGGCTGCTAGGCCCCACCCACCCGTGTCCACCCCTATGGCAGGCTGGACTTACCGTCGCTCAGCACATTTTTGGTAACCCTGAGGACGGTGTTCGTGTCTTGGCGGAAACCGCACACAGCCGCCACGGACAGGGCAGCCACACACCACGTTATCCACATGCTGGCTCTGCTTCCCTGCCAAGAAGACACCATCCTGGTCAGCAGGTGGAGCTCGGTAGCCTCTGCCGTCAGCCATATCAGGACTCTGACAGGCCTAGAGACAGGGGACACTGACTCCATGTTACACGGCAGGGGAGGCTCAGAATCCTAGAAATTCCCTGAGTTTCTCAAACTGGAATCAGCCTGAAGACACCAATAACCAAATTGTCCTAGGACAGGGATGTCGAATTATCTCCTAAGGTGGGTTTTCCAAGCAGAGATTTAAGAGAAAGAACTAATGGAGATTTCCATCTAAAACCCCAAATTGATAGCAGGTAGGTTCTGGGGACCCCTCTACAGCATCTTCTCACCATCTATCCCTCTACTCTCCACTGATCCAACTACTCCTCCATGCTATCCTGCCATCCTGTCCATCTATGTACCTGCCTATCCATTCATCTATCTATACTCCCGTTCACCTTTCCATCTCTCCATCATCCAGCCACCGAGAGAGCCAGTCATATGTCCATCCACCCATCCATCCTTCCCACTCTCTATCTAGCCATCTTCCCATACATATGTCAATAAAAAACCCTACACCCTTTTCTATCTCTTTAGAGGAATCTACAGCTGTGCTGGCAACCCAAAAGTATGAGGTTCAAATCCACCAGCTGCTTTGCATGGAAAAGATGGGCAATCTTTTACCATGTGATTAACTGCCTCTGAAAACCTACTCAGGGGTCTGCTATGGTTCAGTTCTGACTCAATGGTACAGAATAACAACTCTATACTATGTGATTAAGATTAAGCATCAGAGATGTCTGGGTTAGAATCCTTAAACAGGAGACCTTACCTTTATTTGAATCTGTGCTTCTGAATCACTAACACATATTAGCTGTTGTTATTATTAGCTGTTGTTGATTGCCATCAAGTTGAGCACAACTCATAGCAAGTGACTCTATAAACAAAAGGCCTGAAGCTTTTCTATAACTATTGGCATTTATCAAAGTTCATAAAGTTTCCGGAGGCATGTTGTTTAGGAAGTGGATGCCACTCCTGCCTCCTAGTACCAAAAAATAAAAATATTACTGATGTCAAGTTTATCTGAGCTCATCATGACCCTACAGAGCAGAATAAAACTGCCCCGCGAGTTCGCCGTGGCTGTAAATCTTTAGAGAAGCAAAGTACATCTTCCTCCCACAGAGAGGCTGCTGGGTTTGAACTGCTGAACTTTCTATAAAGCAGCTAAACACTTAGTCACTGAGCCACCAGTGCTCCTCTAGTAGCCAGTTGCTGTTAGGTACCATCAAGTCAAAACTGACTCATAGCTGACCTCCAGCAGGTTTTCAGAGGCTGTAATTCTCATGTGAGGAGATTGCCCATCTTTCTCCCATGGTACAGTTAGTGGATTTGAACTAAATGCCTTTGGCTTGGCTGTGCAACTCCTTACCACTAAGCCACCAGAGCTCCCTCTAGTATCTAGTAGACACTCAATAAACATCACACCTTTTTTTGTTATTATTTTAGGACTATTATTTTGCACTCTAAGACGTTGCTAGAGAATTCTGGTAACCTGGTGGTAAGGAGTTGGGCTTCCAACCTGAAGGCACATGGTTCAAATCCACCAGTTGCTCCAAGAAAGAATGATGGACAATCTTCTCCCATGCAATTTCCAGCCTTTGAAACCCTGCTGGAGAGTCAGCTATGAGTTGGCACACAACAATACAACCATAAGTGAGTGGAGAGTGTCAGCAGATTGGAGAGGTAGGCAAAGCGGGTATTATGGGACAAATTGGTCAGCCTCTGGGGAACTCTATTTGATGCCTCCATGCCTTTGCCCAGTTTTCTCACTCTGTGAACCTGATCTCAGATGATCAGTACGGAACATAGTCTTACATCAGGGCCAGCCTGTGAAATTCTTGGTTCCAACCTCCTCCACTTACACATCTTCTCTTTTTCTGCCTCCAGTTCTCTAGAAGTTCACAAAGCCCCCAAGTTTTCTCCATCTGCTCCCAGGACAGGAATGGGGGCACTAATTCTTACTAGTATATGAAAGGTTGATATATGCAAGATCCACCCTTCTCTCCATGGCTTTGTCCTCTGGTAGCTCTGTGCTCAGAGATCACCACCTTTAGTTAAAAAGATGGACACCAGTGGAGGGATTTGGGGCATCACGGGCTGAAGCAGTCTTAGGGAGGCAGGAAAGGTCCTAGGTACCCAACATTTCTGGGAAATGGCAGTTCTGCCCGTGCCTTTCTGTTGACTCGGGCCTTTCTGATGGACTCCTGCTAGGTTCTCATGACTCTGCCCACTTTACAGGCAAGACAACTGAGGCTCAGAGAGGGATCATCCTGCAGTTTCTGGTCTGGGATCTTCCCTTCTTTGCCTCAGCCACTGACACCTCCCCAGCCTTTCCCTTTCAGTATGAATGGTGATCAACGAAGGGGCTCCTCCTTACCCCTGGGAGGTCCCCGCAGCTCAGTCCAGAGAGGTACCCTGCACTGGGCCCTCTGTTAACAGCTGAGTCGGGCCACAGGTTAGCCTTATATAGCGGCTGGAGCCAAAGCCTGGACCCAGAGAGGGAAACACTGTAATTATGAGAGACCGGAATTCAGATTTACTGTGCACTGAGCCCCAAAACCACAAGGGCTTGCGGTTTGTGGCTAATTCCAAGCAAGTCTCCAGATGGTGTCATATGAACCAGGGTTTATCAGTTCCAAGTCTGGTCACATTCCTGGAGACCCCAGTGAGGTTCCCAGAAACACCCCCAAATGTATTGGGTTTCCAGCTCTATAACAGGCACTGCCCATTCCTGACGGCTGGGGCAGACAGGATGTACCCAGACTGGATTCATGATGGTCAGGCTGACTGAGGTTCAAATTCCTACCCCACCCCTAACTCACTGCGTGGCTTTGGGCCAATCACTTCCCCTCTCTGAGCCTCATACGATTTCTGTCTGCAAAGTGTATATAATACATAGAGTTAATTGGAGAATTAAGGAAGATAAATGTGAATCCAACTCCTTCAACAACTTAGAACTTATGCATGAATAAATATGCACAGAAGCTTCAACTTGCAGAAAACCTCCCCAAGAAGTCTCATTACGGCTTGAACAGTGAATGCTAACATATCTCTCATCTTATGCCCACCAGTCATCGGCACATCTACCGTTTCCTTGCATTTGTTTCGATGCACAATTACCCACCCATTCATTAATCTGTCTTTTCTTTTTTGATACTTTTCAAAGTCAGCCACAGGATGCAGTCCCCTAAATAGTTCAGCATGAATGTCATTGCTTAGAATTAAGGATTTGTTGGCGATTCTTCCATTTGAGATAAGATTTATATGCAGTGCAATACACAAACTTTAAATATTTATTTGTTGAATTTTGACAACTCCGTACAGTTATCTAGCCCACACTCTTTTTTTTCCCCTTGTATTTATTACCTTTATTTTTTATTTTTTTTAATTAAATTTTATTCATTTTAATGCACATTTTCAGAGATTTTGGGTTTCCATTCATTCATTGTTGCTCTTAGCCCACACTCTTATCACAATATAGACTCTGTCATTCCAGAAAGTTCCCTCCTGCCTCTTCTCAGTTAGTCCCTCACCCTCTGGAGACAGTCACTGCGCCCCACGCCCCTCAAGACCTGGTGTGGTCGTGTTTGTCTCCACACAATCTAGACCTCTTCCTTTGGCATTTAAGGTGACCTGCCTTCCTCTCTCACTCAATGCTTTGTCTTTCTATTCTCTTCCCATCACCCCCAGACTCCCTGCCTCTGGACCTTTGCACGTGCAATCTATGTCCTCCTCACAACTCCGTTTGTCAAAATGATGCAGAAATTCCAGTTCCTCCAGAAATAATAATTGCAAAATATAACTCCTGCTCTCATTAAAACCCTCAAACTTCTATGTTTCCTCTGGGCCACCCGGGGCTCTCAAGACCCCATGGTGAGGCATCACTGCTCCAGCTAAACCAGTATGTGCCCTACTCCTAGATCAGTATAGGCCCATATGCCAGTGTAGTGAATGAACAAATGAATGGCTGAGTGGATTCTTGTACCATCCACAGGACTGGGACTTGGCTCTTTTAGGCCTCTTTGCTCACTTCCACCCCTTCCAGCTCTGGCGCAGGTTCTCTGTGTTTCATTGATGCCACTTCCTTTACAACTGCACCTGGCCTGTTGTTGATTGACATCAAGTCGAGCACTACTCATAGCAACCCTAGGAACAAATGACTTGAACCCTTTCTATAACTATCGTCATTTCTCAAAGTTCATAGAGTTTCCAGAGGCATGTTGTTTAGGAAGAGGATGCCACTCCTACTTCCAAACCTGTCTTAAACTGGGAGCTCCACCAAACACTGTCCACCATAAGTAACTATTATGGTATTTGGCACCCCAATGGAACAAGGTTCAGCATCACAGCAACCCCAGGTTACCTCAGTACAGCAAATTTATAGAAGAGTGCTGTACCACTTAGAAGAATGTCCCTTCAAAATATAATAACAACCAACTTCTAAATACAAAGGCCCTCCATGAGGTCTTGTTGACATTAAACAAGAGACTGAAATAAAAAAACAACTAATATGTTGTTGTTGTTGTTGTTGTTATGTGCCATCGACTTGCCTGTGATCTATAGTGACAGCAGCTCTGAGCTCTTCCCTGTCCTGAGCCAGTCTCACTAATTCTTACACACCAGTCCCCACTGCTCCAGTTACTGTACCAATCCGTCTCATTCTGGGCCTACCTGTGCATTTCTAGGAAGTGGGGGCATTACTTTACTACCTGCCAGGGCCTGTTTCCTGCTCTTTCTTGGTCGCAAGACAGTGGTTAGAACCATTTCAACCTCAAAAGAGTGTTTTCACAGACCGAGGGACTTAATCATGCAGAACCCAGGAACAGGACGTGGCACACAGTAGGTGTGTTCAGTAGATGCTATTTTTATGCCCCACACACCCCTCCCTGACAATGTCACATAACGAGGAGTCAGCAAAGACATGAGGGATGTGAGAACATGGCTTCAGG